CGACGTGGTTATGTTGGCCGATATACCGATTTGCTGTACCTATCTGTTATGTAATTGTCCGACTAGTGGTCACTTTGTTCCTTTTAATGGTACAATGTTTAAGCTCTGAGGAAGTTGACGAGATGTGGAGAGAAGATAGCTCTAAACGTAGCAATCGATAATCGCAACCAATTCTGACCAGTTTCGATTTGTAATGCTCGATACAGGACTGCTACTCACTGCTCACGTTTTTCTAGAGGGAAAAGAAATGAGTGATAACAGGTCTGTGTGTGTCGGTGTGTGGCCGGTATACGTGTATCGGTGTAGGTGTGTGATGGTGTATCCTCGACTGAAAGCTCATGCCGTGGATCTAGAGCGTTCGCTCTCGGTAGCGGTACAGGCGGCAGGATGGAAACAGTAGTGATGGGTGGCAGGATTGGACTCTCTCAAAGGTGGCGAAGCGTGCGTTAAAGGCACAGTTCACAATAATTTTGGGTAATCCAGGTTATGACGAAAAATGGAAGATAGGGTGGAAAACAGCGCGATGAAGGCGAAGAATTTGCGGGAATCGGTGTTTTCAATGTGAAAAAGGGTTTCGACAGATCCTTGAGAAGGGGGCTGGACGAGAATGAGATCAGAAAAATGAAGAAGAATGGGGCGTCTGGACGAGCTATGCAATGTGTGTCACTGTGAAAAAAAGATCAATACGCTGCTGGGCAGCGATTAAAGAAGGATCAAAAGGAAAAGAAGTATCACAAGCTATGAGTTGCGCATTTATGCCCTGAGTTGGAGAACCCTTATTATCATGTATCAAACGTAGCGTAAGCGACCTGTCCCTTTTTCTCTTGTCGGGCTCGAGTGGTGACGGGCAGTGAATAGCAACATGACCTACTCCTCTACAATTATGGCACTTATCATAATAAGTAAGCCCATTCTGTCGAATTAGCTGGCGAGTTGCTCCATTGCCCTGAAAAGGACGGCGATAACGTTGGTTGTTTTCAAGTCTACGAAAGTCCCTTTAAACTCCCGTTGCTGTCATTTGAGCTAATAAACATTCGCCTCCTACCCGCGATCCCTCTGTCGAACGTGTTTACAGAGACTCAGGTTTGCCAGGGTTGAGAAGTCTTCAGCTGTGACTTACTGCTGCGCTCTCGTAACTGCCTGCTCAGATGAATTGGGGTGATCCAGTTCGACAAAGTAACGGCTGTCTCTTCTCAAGCGAGATACGAACTCTTCCAAAACCCTCTCCTTTTGTGTCGCTGGATCTTGACCGGCCGCCGCGGAAGGAACCAAATTCAGAATTCGATTGGCGAACGTTGCAGCTGTTTCTCCTGGCTCCTGTTTGCAAACAGAGCTTCTGTCAGGCAACGTAGCGCTGCTGCTTTCGAAGAAGTTTCGTAGATGAGTAGTAACAGCATCGAAACTCTTGCGTCCATCATCTCCAATTCCCCCATCTTCTCCCGAGCAACTCCGTCAAACTGTCCTATGAAGAAATTGACCTTAATCTTGCTGGTAAGTTCGGACGGACGCATATGGACCACGTCATTCGAGCCGCGTAACTTAATGGAGAATTTGGTCCCATCCTCTGGCGATCCAGTAAACGGGGCTATCTTCGGCGAGAGAAAATCCTGGGCCACATTGCAATGGTTGGTACAGCTTCCAACCTTCCCCCTACTGCTGTAAACGACTCATTAAGTTGAGAGGACGAAGAAGCATTCTCTTCATTAATCCGATAGGCGAGGGCCGTAGCCTGTGTCCGGGCTTCCTTCCACATCTGTGCAATAGCTGCTGAGGCTGCGTAACGCAGAGCTTTCCTATTTTAACATGAAGTACTGCTGAGTCGTGCAATCTTGAAAAAGAGTTGCCTGATGGTGCCATGGAGGAACCATAGCCAACATTTTCAAAGTTAGGAGCGACAACTTCTGTATCCAAGTTGCCTTAGAAATCGTTTTCGGGATCGAGGGAAGCCGCAATCGACGGAGGCGACTGATAACCCGAAGCGGCGATCGACGACGACTGGCTGCATTAAGTGGTCAATGGCATTAAGACGTAGACTGAGTACAGTGAATAGAGAATGGAGTCGGGTGACTGCCATGGGGCTATGTGGCTTATATATCGTAGACGGATGAGGGTCAGTACCGTGGCGGTAAAGCATGCAAAGGATCACTGATCTTGATGGCCCGGTGGGGACGCTTTTATCCCGCAACGAATTACATCCCTCGCATTCCTTTGATGATTGCAAATAACTCGTCAGAAGTAAAGAAGTCGGGGCTCCGAGGAATGTCAGAAGTCTGTTAACAGATCGAACTTTGTGGGAACTGACTTGAAGCTGTAAACAGTGCGTGGGCGAACTGTCGAGAGATGTTATCCGAAGAGTAGGGCAAGAAGCCGCGAGAGTCGCACGGGCTGCAGACAGAGAGCACGGATACGTATCGGCGGCGAGCAGGTGTTGCAATGAAGAGACGATACAACGAAAAATTACGAGAGAGCACGAAAAACGACGGATAAGACAGACAACCATAATCTCAACCAATAATAATTAAACAATAATAAACAATAATAATTTGCCGAAAGCTCAGCTTCCGAGCATAAATTCCGGCGTCCCCTTCTTGAAAACTCCTTATCAAGGAGAAAAGATACCGTACAGGTAAGCTTGACTCGTGGTTACGCCGCCAAACTGTTCAGAGATGAGCAACACCTGCGGGTCGCGTTAGGGCGCCAATACCACATTTCTATGCAGTGTACCTGCCGCGGGGTTCACCTGCCGCGTTAAAACAACCAATTCATAAAGACATCGCAAATGAGCAAATAGCAACACCAATGATAGTGAAAGTAATAAAGTAATACACGGATAAAATGTGTAATCAATAACAGTGTTCTCGTCTACCGTCACCAGGCGAATATTTTGAAGTACTTCACAAATCTCAGTAAATACAATAGCGAGCTTACTCGAGCTAGCCAAAACTCAGAACAACACCTCAATTACTATAATTTCTCAAGAATTCTATTCTTACTCGCTGAACTGGCGCTAGTTTGTTGACGATTGTCAACACAGATTACTGCTGCAAAATCAACTAATTCGACGTCGAATAAAACTCTCCTACATGAACGCATGTCACCCTCATTGTCACCTCCACAATGTTCACTTGAATAACTCAACTCAACGCTCGCTCAAGATGTGAACTCAACGTAGTGCTCCAACTCAACGCTCGCTCAGACCTTCAACTCAAGTAGTGCTCTTGTGTGAAGACCACTCAGGCCCCGGGGCGAAACTACACTTCACTTCGTCATGTGCACAATTTATTGGCTGACATGATTCCCACAGAGGAATTTGAGAAAATACGAATAAAGACACGAAAGAGTAAGTGGAGTATAGAAAGAGAGATACAAGTTAGAGATTAACACACATAAACTGGTACAACTACGCAGTAATCAATGAAAGGCAGTCACCGCCCGCATAGATCAAAAGGTCATGATCAAGCAAACGAAGTTGATCAGGCTTTGTTTCCTCGGTAAGGCTCAACAGAACCGAAATAATTATTTACCTTTCGCCTATCCTCCTGCTGTCCAGACTCGCTGCTATTAGTAATCTAGCGCGGAGATGCCTGCACCGCTAATCTCATATTCTTCTGCGTCACACATGTATGAATATAACATTTATCAGCATATGCAGGGAAAATTGAGATCTGTCCGATCGTATGTAGTGATCGAGACCAGCGATTAAGCTTGTAAAGCACTTGACGTTGGAAGACGGCGGGCCCAGAGGTGGCAAGCAGGAGGTGCAGTGGCAGTGGACGGCGAGTCGATGGTCGTGTGGAGACGTTGTCGACTGTACTCCTCGAGAAGCGGCGGCAAGCATTAAATACGCGTGATGAGATGAGTCATGGATACAGTAAACTATCATTCCCATGCGCGAGGGTTAAGCAATGTTGCACAATGAAAGGGAAAGCGGCTTCCTTTGATCTACACCCCCACTACCGAATACTTGGCTATTCAGCTGATAAGATCTCACTTCTCAAACTCTTCCTCCCCTAACAGTTAAATTTCTCACGCATTCTTGCCTGTCAGACTACGGTCACTCTTACACCTACAGACTCATACGGACTCTTACATTGTGAAAAACTGATCTTCCATAAAGAAGCTCCTTAGAAGTCGGGTCGAGTTTAGGACCGCTTGAGTATAGGGAAAGACTAACAAAGCACATGTGAGCTCAGCGGAGCTATCCCTACAGTGGACGGGACATGCGGAGGAGTGGGGGGCGTCTTGGGCAAACGTCTGATTTAGGTTAGAAAACAGCCCAGACGCTGAGAAATGGGCAAGGGTGAGGGATAGGTCAACAAGTGACCTGAAGGAAACTCAACGGCAGTGGGGGGGGGGCGTTCTCGCAACGAGCGGTACATTCCATTTAAGTTCATGTAAGTTCATAACTCGGTTCAGCGAAGGCTTGAAAACGAGAAAAAAGAAAAGGAGTGAGGAAGGCCTTATGCGTGCTGAGCATGCATAAACTTGAGGAGGTCCCGCCCACGATGGGCGGGACGTGCGTTCAAATGGGAGTTATCTTTTAAAAATGTGTATAATTCACTTCAAAATGTCTAGAAGAAAATGTGAATAGAGATGGTAGAAGTGTGAGCGAATCTCTGAAGAGACGGGTTTGCACTCAGGTGGGCGGGGCTAAGGTGAAAAAATCTTGTGTTTATTAGAAACGTTCTAGAACGCGGGGAAAAGTGGTTAGAGTCAGTAGAAGAAACGTGTTCAAATCCTTGAAGTGTGGGGTTTGCACTAAAGGGGGCGCGGCTAAGACCGGAAATTCATAATTCATTCATTCTGTTCAAAAACGTTCTAGAATGTGGAGAAAATGGTTAGGAACAGCTAAAAGATACTGAGGTGCACGGAGGTATGATCAATAACTATTAATGAAGTATGTATATCGAGCGGGATGTCCTCAAAGCGGTTCAACGTTCAGATCTGGGAGAACTATCTTGTTTGTTTATGTAACGTTCCGCTGAATGTCTCCATCGTAGATGAGCGGTCGTGGACACATAATGCAAGCGTTAGCATGCATAGCCCTACTGGTATTATGTATGAAACAGTGTCAGTGCTCGGTGGTCAGTGGTGGGTCTTGTGTTCTTGTTCATGTCCTCTATTCTTTTCGTTTTTCAGGTTTTTGACCCTGGTAATGTGAGCTCACACCTGTCTGCCAAAACCGATGACGGTAGAACAGGTCACTCCAATTACGTGCGATCAAACTTATCTAGCAAAGCGGAAGGGTAATACGCAAAACTTCTGAAAGTTCTGTTCTTAATTTCGCAAACCTCTTTTTCCTCTCAGAACCTTGCTGTATATACCTGGGAGAGTCAGCTATGAGCAAGTTGAACAGATGCAAAAGTTCGCGATAGGTATTCTGGGCAAAATCGGCGGTACCACTGTAGACAAGTGAGTTGAATTTTCGCGCTTGCATGACGGCGGATTGTCAAGTGCACGTAGGGTCTGGCTTCCCTGCCTGTCTTTTCACTAATATCGCACCGCCTAGTGAAACTTATCACTAATCTTCTGCTAGCAAATCGGAGATCATCAAAGGACTACCAGGAGGATCTTCGTCGTTTAGCGTTTGTTGTATGTAGTATTCGGTATGTTTCAGTGTATCTAAACCATTATTCGCCTACGTGAACATGACAGCACAGGACATAGACGACAACCTTAGAACCGATGATGGTCAGAAGGTTCGACAGAATTCACTACTCATCTGTCCCAAGTTTTAGTCAGCTGCTTTTTGCTATTAGCTTCATAAGAGCTCAGCTTTCGACACCTTTTCACCAAAAATCCGTTTCTGTATGGGTTATCTGAGTGCAAACTTACTACTCTGATTTCAAAACTACGTTTTCAGAAACTTCAGCATATCATAATGCATTCCCCACAGCTGCCGTTGCCAGGTTTCGAGTGAGTGAAACTATATTGTATGCAATGTCCACAATGTGTGTTTTACGAAGATATTTGGGCTTGCGTTTACCAAGAGGTACCTTTCTCTAGTTGACATTCACTCCGAAGGTTCTCTCTTATCTTGTTGACTGCTACTCCTAACATCTTCGTCAATGCATCCATCGTGGGCATTGGCTTTTCCTCGCTCTTGTCACTTATTATATTTCTTACCAGATGTTGCAATTAAGTAAAGTTCTAGGGTCCTGCAATCCAGAATGGATCTACCTCCTCCGTTCAACCCGTTCACTAGTGTATCCCAAGTGACTAAAAGTGTATTTAATCCGTCCAGATCTTTTTCGCAAATGCGAGTATCTATTCCGACAACTTCTGCACACGCTCAAAGTAGTGCTCCTCAATCTACCATATTCGCTCCAAACCCATGCATAGCGACTTATCCTGATAGTTATATGCCAACTTTACAAACTGCTCCTCATTCGGTCTGCGGCATGGCAATGCAGGCTCTCGTTCCAAACTTCAAATCTCACCATCAGTATACTAGTGGTTTAATCTGGTAATTTGCTAAGTTTTAAGATTGAAGGGGCGTCTGCATCACCTTGTTCACATTCATTAGTATAAAAGTTCAATATGGCTTTTTTTAAAGTTCGGTCACTAACGAACGAAGCGACTAGAACACTTAGGTACTGTTTTCTGATCACGGAGAAATACCAGGATTCAGAAGAGAATTGTATATAATTCGTTTGTTGCGGTTTAATCAATTCCTAAGTCTACTTCCTTTGTTGATGAAAATACATCTCGAAGCCCATATGTTGCTCCTCTTCTTTAAATGTTTTTCATTGTTGGAATCGTTCAATTTTTTTGATTGCCTCCGTCAATATTATGATTGTACTGTTTAATTCAGATTGGTAGTTATTACGGCTACATTTTACTTGCTTACGGATACTACACTCGCTTGCAATAGTTTGAGAAAGACTCAGCTTTTACTGGTGGATTTCCGATGTCATACCAGAATCATCTTGTTTTTGATACTGTCAGTTAATTTGTGTACCTTATTATGCTGCAATTAGAATTGGAGAGCAGACATTAGTTCTTCAGCGAGCGAATGACTGAATTTTCAGGCGAGAACGGGAAGGTTTCTCATTGTTCTTCTAGGTTAATCAGGCATGATTTTACCTATTAGGTTGTTTTATTGATGCTTACCTACACTGATACAATGTGCCTTTGTTTTGCCACTCATGGATGAATGGAAGACTCTTTATAAGTAATGTGCCTGTGAGGGTTTCGTTCTGTTCTTTGCTTTATTTTTCCTTTTTCAATGAAAACAAAGGTTTTCCCATTTTTTGTCTGATCTATCGTGTGCTCGAAGGATAACTAAATGGATTCTTGGGATTGCGACTATAACACGCATATTATTAGTGTATCTTGCGATGCACTTTCTGTTTTCGAGCTGCGAGGGCACACTTTACAGGCACAGTTCACGACAGTTTTGAGTAAACCAGATTATTACGAAAAATGGAATATAAGATGGAAAATAAAGCGTTGAAGGCAAAGAAATTGCGTGAGTCGGTGTTTCCAATGTGTAAAGGGGTTTCGAAAAATTATTGGAAAAAGAGTGGATGAGAATGAGACCAGCAAGATGAAGAAGAATGGGGTGTTTGGACGGGCTATACAATGTGTGTCATTGCGTACGTGTGGATCCTGCTGCGAGTAACAGACTACGGTAAGCAAAAATTCATTCACTCATAAGCATAAGTTAATAAAAAACTCTAGTGAAAGCAAAAATAGCCCACCTTTTTGAGCCTCTTTTGGTAGAAAATTAAACACGGGATCGCAGCAGCAAAAAGAATAACCGACAATAAAGGAATAGCAGGAGAATATCGTCTCATTACTCGGCAACCAGCTGGTTGTTTGCGGGTTCTAGAGCAAATGTTGCAAATTGTATCGCCTCGACATTCGTCTGACGTGACATCGACCGGCCGGGGGCGGGAAGCCTGGGCGATCCGGTAACGGGGCTCTCCTAGCTGTTGAGTTTTGCGACCCGACAGCGTCAGAGACCATTTTTATCGTGAACTACGCCTTTGGTGTAAGGAAGCAGTGCAATTTGGTGATCAGGGGCCTGCACCTCACTCTGCAATTGTGGGAGAGGGAAGGGTGAGGAAGCGCTTTCGCGGGTGCAGTGACCTTGGCCGGGGCATGCGACATCCTTACTTTCCCGCTGCTTAACTAACACAATTCAGTCTTCTGGGAACTCGTACCAGCTTTCTTTTTTTTCCATAGTCGTGGCTTGAGGCAGTGGTGTAATCCGTGGGTGACGAGTCATCATGATTCTGAATGTAGAAGGAGTATAAACAGGGCAACTATTCGAAAAAGCTTGTGATAAGTAGGAGGGTCATAGATTTGAACATACTGCAGACAGGAGATACTCATTCAAGAAAGCGTTGGCAAACTTTAATTGGTTAGTATAATAGAAAACCTTGGCTCGAAAAAAATTTTTCGACTCGTTCGCGCTAAGGAGCTGTGGATGTTGCATCTTGAGTCGACAGGTGTAGTTTCTTCTTGGCTAGTGTGCACATTCATCCAATGAGTCTCTGTTGTAGGGTAAACCCGTTTTGAGTAGTGATGCGATCGGAATTGCTGTTTTCATAGTCCGCCGGCCGGCGGACTATGAAAGCAGCCAATGGGTAATGAAAACGGCTATGTGCAAGAGAAGAAAATGAAGATGGATCGTGGAACGATAGTAAGAGTCGTATAAAAGGGAGTGCTGTGAGAGATAAACTTTCATACACGGTTGTCTCATTCGCCAACCAACTGGTTATCAAGAGATGAAGGTCGTGCAGGATGTCACGTTGCAATGAAGCCGAGTGTAGGCCATTCAACTACAGCCAGAGAGATAAATAATTGTAGGTCGCACCTAATTGAGCTTTCTCGCACCGGCGCAAAGTGAGCTTAATTAGAGTCATCGCGGTGCTGCCCGCACATCGCCGGTAATCGAGCTGAAAATTGTCAACTAAAAAGAGTGATGACAGTGAAAAAGAAAGTTTCTATGAAAAGAAGAAAGGAAAAGTCTCAAGATCAATGGCAACGGTGTTAAGAGTTTCATTTCCATGCATAATAAGTAAACTCTATATATTTTCGTGGTTAAATTTTCTCTGAGATGGGAAAAAGCCTATGGGATTCATTTGCATTGGGGAAGGCTGTGTAGAGCGAAGGTTGTGATACGGGGTTCAGCTGCATTGGGAGAGGCTGCGTATATGCAGGACTTCCGAGGAAATCACTTTGTAGGTCTACGGCTTCAGGTGCGGAGTGAAATAGTCAGACAGTGAAGGGAATGGGCTACATGGATCGCGCCCTCTTAAGTAGTTTTGAGCAAGGACACCCTTTGAGTTCATCGAAATTGTAGAGTGTGTCTCTAGAATACATTGTAATGTTTTATAAAGTGGACAGTGATATTTATAACACTCACCCATACCCTGGTTGAATAGTCCATGATGATCTCTCTTCAAGATGCTGAATTTAGCCTGAAGTCTTGGTAACACCTATATCACCTTTCATCCCGTTGATCATCGACTTCCTCGAAAGGGCGCCAGTGACGTATCCGTTCGTCCCTGTCCTGAGCAAGAATGGACCAGTGAATTGTCCTCGCTTCAGGGACGCGAGGTCCAACATTCCTCTCGTTCAGACCTTTCGTAAAGAAGTCTGGCCATCTCGATGGCGGTCGTCCTGGAGTTCGTATGATACTCAAAGGATCTAGTCAGTAACCGCCCTGGTCCAACTGTCAGCACTATATCGCATAACGTGTCCGGCCCACCTGATCTTCGATTTCTTGGCGTATTCAACGGCATCCCTGATCTTCGTTCGAACGGAGCTCGGAACTCCGGATCCCCTTTCGCACTTGCGCGTGTAGGGGGATTCCGAGCAACGCCATTTCCAAAGCGCGTTGAGTAACGCTGACAGCATGCTCATCCTGGTTTCGTGGAGTTTAAGCCTCTGAGGCGTACGTCAAAGCAGGAAGGACAGCGGTGTCGAAAAGGTGAGCGCGGATGTATTCTTCGTCTTCTTCACTCTCCCTCGATATTCTTAAATTTCCCTTCTGCACAGCTCCGGAGCTTGGTCGTTAATCATGTTGACTGCCCGACCGAGATACACATGCTAGAGCATTCGTTGCTATTCATTCCATTCAGCGTTAAGGGAGCATCAGGTACCAATCCGTTTTTCATGAACATCGTCTTCGTTGAATTCACTCTCAAGCCGATCTTTCCATAAGCACTGCTAAACTTGGCCAGCATTCGTTCCGCCTGCTCGATGTCTTCTGCAAGACGGAGGTAATAAATAGCGGCCTTCGACCTTTACTCCCGAATCTTCCCATTCCAAATGACGCATGATATTCTCGAGGGCGGCACTGAAAGGTTTGGGCGAAATGGTATCGCCCTGTCGGACACCTCTTTTAACATTGATAATGATTTCCTTGTACAATTGTGAAATCCTGCTCGTGAAATTGTCGTAGAGTTCACGAAGCATCCTTATATATTGAGTAGGAACACCGTTGTCCGGGGCTCCAATTATCGCTTCTGTCTTTACGGTAGCAGAGGCTTTCTCTAAACGGTATTTGAACGATGAACGTTAGACACAACGGTATTTTGTACTCTCGCGGTACTTCAATGAGTCTTGTAAGAGTGTGGACATGATCGATTGTGCTGAACCCTCTCCAAAGCCCTGCTTGCTCGCATGGTGCTGTCTTTCATTTAATATTATGCCAATGTTCAGGATGACGAGAGTGAAAAGCTTATAGATTAAGGACACCAGGTAAGTTGCACGCTATCGTCTG